CTCGTGACCCACCACCTGCCCAGGTTCCCGACGCCCTCCCCGCCAACGCCATTGTTGCCAATACCAAAGACATGCTTAAGCTCATGGTCGACACCTGGGAGCCCATCTTGGGCAGGTACCGCGCTCGCGCGGGTCATGACGCCGAAGCTATGCCGACGTGGGCGGACTTCTACGACGAGTACCGACAAGAGCTGCCTACGCCATCACCAGCAGCCCCTTTCCACCTCACCGACGACCAACTCATCCACTTCATTCGCACCCGTTCACCGCGCCGCGCGGGGGGACTCGACGGCTGGACAACTAAGGAGGCTAAGGAGTTACCCGACGACATCCTTCGCCTCTTCGCCAGCGTCTTACGTGCTATGCAACGCACTGGCACCATCCCCGAGCCCCTCCTACACGTGCCAAACCCGTGCCTCCGAAAAGGCCGAGGGGAACTCCCGACGGACCAACGACTTCTCTCGGTTCTTTCCGTTTGGATGTACGCGTGGGAAGCGCCAGCCTACCGTAGCCTCACGACCTGGCGGCAAGGATGGACCCATGCCACGAGCTTCGGCGCTGTTCCCAAAGCCACCATTGGGGATGTCAGCACCTCTCTCGCCCTGCGCATCGAACACGCCAGGGCTTTACTCCTCCCCTTAGCTGGAGCTGCCCTTGACCGACAGAAGTGTTTCGACTACCTCATCACGGACATCTGCCTTAACCTTGCGCTGCACGCGGGGTGCCCTCAAGACATCGTTACTGTCCGCCGAAATTTCTACAGACACCACAAACGCTACATCCGCATGAACGGAGCGTACTCTAAGGACTTGGCCAGGACTAACGGTCACCTCCAGGGAAGCTCGTGGTCCCTGGACGACATCAAGCTGCTCATGTGCGTGTGGACAAAGAGGCAGCATCGATACGTTCCTCGATCACTCAGCACTACCTTTGTTGACGACAGCAACTCCACTACCCACACCGCGTCTGAGCTGCAGAAATCTCTTGACGAAACCGCCAAGTTTGATCGATTCTCAGGTCAACGCATTCACCCTGGTAAAGTGGCAGGGTGGGCGCTCACCGACGAGCTTCACGCCGCCGTTACCCAGCTCACACTGGCGGATCGCCCCCTACGTGTGGTCGATTCCTTCAAGCTCGTCGGGAGTTACATCAACGCAGAGGCAGCGCCGGCTCCAGCCGCGCTTAACCTCACGGCCACCGCAGACGCCCGTGTACGGAGGGCGACTATCCGCCTGCCGCGCATTGGCAAGCTCCCATCGCCGATGCTTATCAAGGCGCGGCACGCCCGTTCCCTGGCTGCCAGCGTCTGCACCACGGGCACCGACATTCAAGCACCATCAGGCCCAGCCAAAACTGCCTACAACCACGCCCTCAAGGCGGCTATCCGCCCCAAGGGGAACAAGTGGGTCGAGTTCTGGACTCTCATGGCCGTGTGCGTCCCAGGACACGCCCTGGAGATCGACGCCATCACGCAGCGTGAAGCATTCCTGTGCCTGCGGCGACAGGTTAACCGCGACGTTACACTCTGCGGGCTCGCCAGAGACCTCCAACACCACGTCCAGACCCTGTTTGGTGGAGGACCCGTCGGACGACTCGTCCAGTCGCTCCAGCAGCTCCGATGGACCTGGCCCACATTTGGCATCATGTACGACGACTGGGGCTGCCAGATCAGCTGGCTGAATTTACCCCAAAACGCCTTCCTACACATGCTGCGGGCCTCACAACGCAGGGCTTTTCTGCGGAGGATCAAGCCACGGCGACACGACCTTGGCTACCTAGCCTCTGTCAGACAGGGCCTTGACCTCTTCGCCAGCACGTGGCTCGCCCGAACTAAAGGAGCAGCCAAATGCACTGCCTGGCAGCTGGCGCTCCTCCTGAACTACCTGTCGGGCGGGGATCACACCCAACAGCGACGATCCCGATCAAACACGTCGGCAGACCCCAGCCCCATCTGCCGCTACTGCGACGAGGAAGAGGAAACTCAGGAGCACACTGTCCGCGACTGCAAGTGCTGGGCCCGAGAAAGACTCCCTCTCACCACCCTCATCAGTGACGACCAGTGGGCCCGTCTTCCGCCGCACACAAGACACTGCGGGCTCTTCGACGAAGACCCAGCCCTCCTCGACCTGCAGGCCGACCTCGCGAGGGACCCGCTGCCACAGCCCATACCGCGGCCCCCCCCTGAGGGAGATCCTGCGGCTTCAGCCCAGGACACCTACACCACCTACCTTGACCACGACACTGGTTGGACATGGGTCTACGCTGCCACGGACGGTGCATGCACCAACCAAGCCATCCCATTGCTAGCACGAGCGGGCTACGGCGTCTACTACGGCATCGACCACCGCATGAACTACAGTGCACGCGTTCACGGCCTAACGCAGAACGCCCAGGTTGCGGAGACCCTCGCCATTGTCCACCTTACGGCATGTGCCGAACGGCCCGTGCACGTTTTCGTGGACAACCAGGCGGTGGTCGATGGGTTCCAAAGCATCATCGACGGACATCCAGCGCCGCAGGGCACGCACGCGGAGCTCTGGGAAAAGATCCACCGATGTGTTATGGCCAAGCCCAACATGTTTCGCGTCGAAAAAATCGCCAGCCACCTGGGAGACCTGGGCATCGACCTTGGGCTCATCGGGCCCATTGCGGAGGAGTTCAACCGTCAGGCCGACGCCCTTGCCACAACGGCGGCACGCACTCACAACCTTCCCGACGACATTGTTGAAGCTGCCAAAACACGACATCGCCAAGCGACCGTGCTTCATGGGGTCGCTGTCGCTATCTACGAGCGCAGACACCGTACTCTGCCGCTACCACACCGCAGGGCTGGGTTTACAGCTGCGGAACTCAGCAAAATGGAACCAAACCCCCTGCTGTCGGACCAGGCACCACCCGCGGCTGGACCATTCATCCCGCAAGACCCGGATGAGCTCTGGGCCGAGGCCCAACGGGCGATGCTCGATGAACAGGAGGACGACCCGTTCGGCTTCGGCGGGGGATTGGACTTCTTGGACGACGGCCCAGCCAGCGCCAACCCTGCCCCGTCGGGCAACCTCTCGACGCCCACCGCGACTCCGCCACCGAGAGCGACATCGCACCCACATGATGATGTCGCTCACCGTCAAGACGCCGACGATGACCTGGTTGATCCCCTCGGACTGAGTGGCAGCATAGACGACGCCCCGCCGACACTCCACGCTGCCGACGATGCCGCCCCATCGAGACGCCACCCGACCACGCGGCCGACCTCCGAGCCCTCGCACGGCATCATGATTGGTCCTACCGTGCCACCCACTCCGTCCCCCCACCAGCGCCAGCCCGCGGGGGCGGCTCCAGCCCCCCCGCAGGGCACCGAGCCAGTCAGGCCGTCGCACCCCGTCCACGCTTTCACTGTTGCTGGGCGCGAGGATGCGGCTCTTCCGACCTCACGGGGCGTGGCCCTAGCGGCTCCAGCCCTGGGACCGCGTGTTACCCTCCAGTCGCCTCTCAAGGGTGACGGCCGCCAGCACGCGGAGCGCCGTGCTGCGCTAGTCCACCACCTGGCCAGGCGCACCGATGACCTCGTCCCTGCCACGAGGCCCGCGGCCGCAGGCACTGAGCAGCCGCCCCTCACCGACCGCGAAACCGAGCTGTCCCAGTCTATGGCCGCTCTTCAGCAAAGGTGTGCTGCTCTCGCCGCCGACCTTGCCGCTGCTCAAGCCCGTCAAGGCCCTCTGCTCCAGCGCCTCCACCGCGCCGGGCGTGCCTTCGCCGAGCTGCTTACGCCCTCGCCCGATGGTGCTGCGCCGCCACTCACCATCCAAGCTATGCTGTCATCGCTCCGCGGCGCTCCGCCTGGTGCCCCGCGCTAATTTCCTCCTTTCTGCCTGCCCGTGTGTACGCGTGGCTCCGCGTCCACGGTGTCAGGGCGTGGGGGCGGGGGGTGCCCCGTCCCTGCGCGCCGCTTTGCGGCCAAGCGCCCAACTGGCGGTCTGCCAAGCCGCCTAGCCACGTGTCAGCACGTCGCCTTCCTTGTTGGGGCCTCCTTCTTCACGCGGTCTGACACGTGAGATCTTCACCGTCTGTCCGCCGTCTGTAGCGTCTGTCGCATTGCGCCGGGGGAGGGGGTTTGTTGCCCGCCCTCGTATCTTAAGGCTACACCGCCGCAAATAGTGTTTGGCGAGTTGTCGCACCGCAGTGCGCCTCGCGGACGGGCCCTGGTCCGCCTACTTGTCCGATCTCTCTCTCTCTCTCTCTCTCTCTCTCTCTCTCTCTCTCTCTCTCTCTCTCTCTCTCTCTCTCTCTCTCTCTCTCTCTCTCTCTCTCTCTCTCTCTCTCTCTCTCTCTCTCTCTCTCTCTCTCTCTCTCTCTCTCTCTCTCTCTCTCTCTCTCTCTCTCTCTCTCTCTCTCTCTCTTTGGAGTCAGGATCTCAGGAGTCAGGATTTCAGGTGCCGGGGTTTCAGGGGCCAGGTTCCCAGGACTCAGGATCTCAGGAGTCTGGATCTCAGGAGTCTGGATTTCAGGACTCAGGATGTTTAGAGCCAGGGTTTCAAGAGCTTGCCCCGCCCACCGCGCGCGCCGCCCCCCGGCCCGCCGCCGACGGCGAGGGGGAGGGAGAGGGAGAGGGAGGAGGAGGAGGAGGAAGAGGAGGAGGAGGAGGAGGACGAGGAGGAGGAGGAGGAGGAGACAGCAGCGATAACGACGTCGACAACGACATCGACAGCAAACGAGGGCGACAGAGGCTTCAACAAACGACGATGACGACGACGGCGGCGAGGGACCTCCTCCTCCTCCTCCGCCTCCTCCTCCTCCTCCACCTCCTCCTCCTCCTCCTCTTCCTCCTCCTCCTCCATCTTCTCCTCCTCCTCCTCCTCCTCCTCCCCCTCCTCCTCCTCCTCCTCCTCCTCGTCCTCATCCTCATCCTCATCCTCATCGTCATCATCACCCGTGGCGCTCGAGCTGCCAGGGGGCCGCCCGCGGCCATGGCGCTTCCCCATGCCCAGCCGCCTCCTCTCGAGGGCGTGCGCGCCGCCTGGCGCCGCGTCGGCCAGATTGCCTGGTTCGACTTCCCAGGACAATGGCAAGCGGGGTCAATTGGGGGGCTCGACCTCCCCGACTGGCCCGGCTCCCGCTGGGAGCGTTGCCGCCAGCGGTCGCAGCTTCTGCGGCGGCTGGACCCGCGCGTGCCTGCGCAGTTCCAGCAGGAGGAGGGCCCGCGGCCCTGGTGGGCGCCAGGGTGGCTGGACCTCCCGCTGCCCGAGGAAGCACCGCACGACGCGTGGTACTTCCGCGGGCGCCCCGAGAGGGGCGTCCCTCCTTCGTGGTTCGTGCCGCACTGGCGCACGGCCACGCGCGGCGCGCGCGACCCGCAGTGCGTCGCCATGGTCTGGATGGACGCGGGGGTCGCGCGGTGCCCCGCAACAAGAAACACCGCCACCACCACCACCACCGCCACCACCACCACCACCACCACCACTACACCCTACACCTCTCGCGCATTTCGTGCCCCATGGGGCGCGAAATGGTGCGCCACTGCAGTGGCGCACCATTGAAAAAGCGGCTCTCACAGGTACGTCGTGTACATGGAGCCGCTGGGGGATGGCGTGCTGGCGCTGCGCGGCGCTTGAGGCGCGACATCACAACCCCTCTCGCCGCTATCGTCGTCACACTTCTCCTCCTTTCCCCTCCTCCCTCCTCCCTCTCCCAGCACTTCTCCTTCTCCTCCCTCCCTCCCCTCACTTCTCCTCCTCCTCCTCCTCCTCCTTCTCCTCCCTCCTCCCTCTTATTTTTTCCATATGCATATAACCATGCGTAAGGTTGCCATATATCCATGCGTCCTCCTCTACTCCTAGGCGCCGCCACTCAAGCTTTGGCGAAATTCTGAACGATTTCGCCCCTAAGCCACTCGTGTTCGGCGTTGTTTTCGGAAGCGCGGGCGCGGTTTCGGAGGTGGCGGCGGCATATTGCCACCAATCTGCTTGGACGCATTCAATCGGCATCGCGCGTTTCCGCGCCTTTAGATTCGCGCGTCCGCGCGCGAGGCGCGCCTTCGGCGTTCAGTCGCGTTTGGGTTCATGACGCCCGCGTGCAAATTGATTTCTACATGCGATATGCCAGCGCGAAGAGGATTTCTAATCTATCTCGACTGATTTCGAAAGCGCAACAAGTGATTCGCGACGTCCTCACCACCAAAATGCGCCCGCCGCGGGCGCCAAAATCGTGTCATACCGGGCCCGATGCTTAAGGAATGCCATTCTCCGGCCTGAACACATCGGGGATGCTTAGCGCCAAGCGTCCCCGGAGGCCGCGGATGCTCTGGGCATGCCATGTCCGAGCCCCCATGGGGCTGTAACATACCATGTTAGAGCTCCCTGGGGGCTCTAACCTACCCGCCGCCGCCGCCGCCCCTTAACCGTCTTACAATCGATCGCGCAACGGTTAAGACCCCCCCCCATCGCCAGGGGGGTTTTAACCGTTGCGCGATCGATTGTGAAACGGTTAGGCGCTCCGCCGCCGCCGCCGCCGCCGCCGCCCCTTAACCGTTGCGCAATCGATTGCGCAACGGTTAAGCCCCCTCTCGCCAGGGGGGGGCCTTAGCCGTTGCGCAATCGATTGTGACGCGGTTAAGCGCCGCCGCCGCCGCCCCTTAACCGTTTCACAATCGATTGCGCCGCGGTTAAGGCCCCCCCCCTCTCGCCGGGGGGGGTCTTAACGGTTGCGCGATCGATTGTGAAACGGTTGGGGGCCCCTCCTCTCGCCAGGGGGGGGGCCTCGACCGCTTCGCAATCGATCGCGCAACGGTTAAGCCCCCCCCCCCCCCCTGGTCCGCGATCGATCGCGGAACGGTTGAGACCCCCTATCGCGAGGGGGGGGGTCTTAACCGGGATGCGATCGATCGCGCAACGGCTAAGACCCCCTCCTCTCGCCAGGGGGGGGGGGCCTTAGCCGCTGCGCAATCGATTGTGACGCGGTTGAGGCCCCCCCTGGCGAGAGGGGGGGGTGCCTTAACCGTTTCGCAATCGATCGCGCAACGGTTAGGGCCCCCCCCTGGCGAGAGGGGGGGGAGCCTTCACAGCTGCGCAATCGATTGTGAAACGATTGAGGGGCGGCGGCGGCGGCGGCGGCGGCAGCGGCGGCGGCGGCGGCGCTTGACCGTTTCACAATCGATTGCGCAACGGCTAAGCCCCCCCCCCTGGCGAGAGGGGGGGGGTCTTAGCCGTTGCGCAATCGATTGCGCAACGGCTAAGGGGCGGCGGCGGCGGCGGCGGCGGCGGCGGCGGGCTAGAGCTCCCAGGGGGCTCTAACATAGCAAGTTAGAGTATGTTAGAGCTCCCTGGGAGCTCTGACATGGCATGTCAGAGCCCCGTGGGAGCTCTAACATGGCATGTTAGAGCTCCCTGGGAGCTGAAACATGCAAGGTATGAGCTCCCAGGGAACTCCCTGGCACCTCGAACCTAGCAGGTTAGACCTTCCAGGGAGCTCTAACATGGCATGATAGAGCCCCAGGGAGCGCTAACATGTTATGTTGGCACTCCCAGGGAGCTCTAACATGGCACGTTATATTATGTTAGAGCTCCCTGGGAGCTCTAACATCGCATGTTAGAGCTCCAACTGAGCTCTAACATAGCATGTTATATTATGTTAGAGCTCCCTGGGAGCTCTACCATCGTATGTTAGAGCCCCGTGGGAGCTCTATCATCGTATGTTAGAACTCCGTGGGACCTCTAACATGTCATGTTATAGCTCCCTGGGGGCTGAAGCATGTCATGTAAGAGCTCCCAGGGAACTCCCTGGCACCTCTAACCTAGCATATTAGACCTCGCAGGGAGCTCCAACATGGCATGACAGAGCTCCAGGAAGTTCTAACATGTTATGTTGGCACTCCCAGGGAGCTCTAACATGGCATGTTAGAGCTCCAGCGGAGCTCTAACATAACATGTTAGAGTATGTTAGAGCTCCCTGGGAGCTCGAACATCGTATGTTAGAGCTCCATTAGAACTCCAATGGGGCTCTAACATAGCATGTTAGAGTATGCCAGAGCTCCCTGGGAGCTGTAACATCTCATGTTAGAGCTCCGTGGGAGCTCTAACACGGCGGCGGCGGCGGCGGCGGGTAGGTTAGAGCGACCAGGGAGCTCTAACCTAGCATGTTAGAGCTCCCAGGGAGCTCTAACATGCTATGTTCGACCTCCCATATCAGAGCTCCCTGGGAGCTCTAACATACCGAGCTCCAACGGAGCTCTAACATAGCATGTTAGTGTATGTTAGAGCTCCCCGCGAGCTCTAACATGGCGTGTTCGAGCTCCGTGGGAGCTCGCACATGCTCTAACATGCTATGTTAGAGCTCCCAGGGAGCTCTAACATGGCTTGTTAGAGCTCCAACGGAGCTCTAACATAGCATGTTAGAGTATGTCAGAGCTCACTGGGAGCTCTAACATGGCATGTTAGAGCTCCGTGTGAGCTCTAACATGGCATGTTAGAGCTCCCGGCCTCCTCGTCGGAAGCGGCCCCCTCGACTGGTTGGGATTAGGGCTGGCTTAGGTTGATGTTTTTGATGTGTTTTTGATGTGATTATGGTCTTTCCTGTTGTTTGATGTTTGATTGGATTGTGATTGTGACGATGTCCTGTTTTTCTGATTGTGATGATGACGATGCTTATGACGATGATAATGATACTTTCGAATGGCGACTATCCGATCGTATATATACAATCAACATCATCTCCATCACCATCATCACCATCATCCATCACCATCATCACCACCATCATCACCATCAGCATCATCACGACGACGACGACGACGACGATGGCGGGGGGACGGCATGCGGACGTGCCCAATGGGACGACGACGACGACGACGACGACGACGACGGCGGCGGGGGGGACGGCCCGATGGGAGCTCTAACATGCTATGTTAGAGGTCCCATCGAGTATGGGAGGCAACTCTAACATGCTGTAAACATAGCAAGTTAGAGTATGTTGGAGCTCCTTGGGAGCTCTAACGTCGTATGTTATAACTCCATGGGACCTCTAACGCGTCATGTTATATAGAGCTCCTTGGGAGCTGAACCATGTGATGCAAGAGCTCCCAGGGAACTCCGGGGCACCTCTAACCTTTCATGTTAGACCTCCCAGGGGGGCTCTAACATTGCATGTTAGAGCTCCAACTGAGCTCTAACATAGCACGTTAGATTATATTAGAGCTCCCTGGGAGCTCTAACATCGTATGTTACAGCTCCCGTGGAGCTCTAACATAACATGTTAGATTATGGTAGAGCCCCAATGGAGCCCCAACATCGTATGTTAGAGCTCCGTGGGAGCTCTAACATGATATGTTCGATCTCCGTGGACGCACGAAGTCAGCGCCTGAAATCAATATAGCAACACCTGCTCCCAAAACGAAGTAGTCGAGGATCGAGCTCGAGGTGGGGCTCCGACAGGTGGGCGCTGTGGGGGCCATAAGGAGCATGCCCAATTTGCGAACAACTCCAGAGCCTTTCAAAACTTCAGGAGCCATATTCCAGCCCCCTGCGCCGCGTCAGCGCGGCGAAAGAGCCAGCGCGCGAGCCGGGCTGCACGCCTCCGACATCGGCTACCAGACGCCCATGCGAGGTCACTTGTCCTGCTGCCGAGCTCACTGGTGCTGCTGCTTCTCCCTCTGCGTGAGCTCCTCCACTTTCTGATCGAGCTCCTCGACTTTCTTCTGCAGGTTGCCCTGTGCCCGCAGGAGATCCGCGAGCATCTGTCCCTGTGCCCGCAGGAGAGCCAGAATCTCATCCATCTTCTCGTCCTCGTTCTGTGCGTTGGTCAGGAAATTGAGCATCGTGGTGATAACGGTGCTTAGCCCGTCCTGCTGCTGCGTAAGCTTCTGCTGCCACTGCTGTGCTCCTGCTGTATCAGCTCCTGCTGTTGCAGCTCCTGGTGACGCAGCTTTTGAGCTGTTCCAGCTTTTCCAGTTGTTCTTCTCTCCTGCAGCTGTTCCAGCTTCTTGCTGATGGCCTTCACTTTGCCATTGCCCTCCTCTGCCCTCTCTGGCCTTGACCTTGGCGGCCTTCTTCGTCGACCTCCAGTCCTCCGCTTCATCGTCTTCCCGCTTCTGGACGTAGCTCGAGTGGAGCTCCACAGTGCTCATGATGGTAGAGCACCATGCGGTCTTGTCCTCATCAGAACCCCGTGGACAAGCAGCATGGAACCAGATATGCTTATTAGTTACATTCTTGATGTGGTCCTGCGAAATCTGGTGCGTCGGGGCTGCCCATTTGTCGCGCGGTGAACAAACCTACCAGGGCTCATTAGGTCCTCCACTCGTCTTCGAAACGTACCCCTTAACTTGTAGCCATGGAGCATCAATGCGTCCAGTGTCAGGGTCCATGATGACGGTTTCTGGACATGGGCCAGGAGGCCCCCCTGCGCTGGCCCCCATTTCTGACATGACAGCCTGCAGGCGCTGCAAGAAATTCCTTGGGCCGAGGTGTTTGCGCTACAGGAAAGCTGGGTGATCTGATAAATGGAACCTCGCAGCGGTTGCCATTTAGAGCTCCCTGGGATGTCTAACGTACCATGTAAGAGCTCCTGGTGGCGTCTCCGAGCCCGGACTGGTTGTGTAACATGCGATGTGTCAGATCAG